ACTTACACAAAGCCCTCAAAGATCGCATGTGGGATACGGCAACACCAGCCCATTTGAAATCATTACCCATCTAGTGAACACATACGGTAAAATACAAGACTGATCTCCTTGCAATCGTGAACTCCTCACCCAGCCTTGGACTCCACCCACAGACATCGAGGAAACTCTTTGATAATATCGACACCTGCATTGCTTTCTCAGTAGAGGCGGAGATGTCATTAGTGACCGCAACGCTGTCAGCGCCGGAGTAGCCACTCTACACGCCACGGCCTATTCATTCATCCCATCCGAGAATGGAACAAACGTACACCAGAAAACCGCACACTCACCCACTTCAAAGAATTCTTTCGTGATGCCGAACATGCCGCCAGACCGAAACCACACGTCAGCGCCGCAGGCTACCACCAACAGCCAACGCAACTATCACGGACACCCAAACAGTTACCACACGGACTTCTACGCTCACCCATCCACAACTGATCGACATAACCACGATCACCAGGATCGTCCAAGAGTCACTTCGAGAGTCCCAAGCAGCAAATGCAAACACCACCACCCACCACCGATTCGCCCAAAACCGACGCTCCGCTACCAGAGCAACACCTCGATCGTTGGTCTCAGGCAGCCGAACTCGATGCAATGGGATGGTGCTGGACTTACGGTTAACTCTGCCATAACCCAGCCCACAACAGTGATACGTGCAACTTCCCCAAGGAGGGCCACAACATCCAAGCCACCGCACAAAACAAAATGGGAGGCAGCAACGAACGATACCAGCCCCGCGCGGAAACTGATTCAGCGGGACGCCATCGTTAACGGCGTCCAAAATTTGCTGGAGGATCTGGGCCTCTGTTTTGTGGTATAATTTCCATGCATCGTTCATTTTTGTATGGTTTGGATCGTGGCGTACATGAGTGCTTGGGTGGCGTTGGCAGCATTTACGGGTTTGTCTGGTTTGATCGGGACGACGAATGCAACGTTGCCTTGGATGCTGCAGTGTAGGCTGCTTGTCCAAGAATGGTGTAGGCGTGGCCTAATCTGCCATCACCGTCCTCACTGGAGATAGCTCTGGTGTTTGCAAGAACCTGAGAGATGAGGAGGAATAGCTTCCTCTGGTCAGGTTTGCCAATGATTGGTGTGAGGATCGGGGTGTGGCATTGCTTCAGTTGATGTAGTGGTAGTCATTGTATGGTCGAGGGTAGAATTGGATTTGAAGTTCGGGCGACACGGGTATATTTAGTTCTCTTTGTCGGACGTTTAAGGCTCTGTGTGTCTAGGTGTTGTATATGTGGGTAGTGGTATTGTAGGTTGGTGTTGTGTTTGTTGGCTAGTAGCGGTATCAGCTGGTAGCGGTATCAGTTCGAGGATTCGAGGATAGAGGTTCGTGTTCGAGGATAGAGGTGCGTCGTTCGTTGATCGATAGAGGTGCGTCGTGCCGTTCGATATAGCGGTGGTTCGTGCGTTCGATCGATAGAGGTGCGTTCGAGATAGAGGTTCTTTCGAGGATAGAGGTTCGTTCGAGGATAGAGGTGCGTCGTGCCGTTCGATCGATAGAGGGGCGTCGTGCCGTTCGATCGATAGGGGTGCGTTCGTGCCGTTCGATCGATAGAGGTGCGTTCGAGGATTCGTTCGAGGATAGAGGTCGTTCGAGGTTAGAGGTGCGTCGTCCGTTCGTGATAGGGTCGTCGTGCCGTTCGATGATAGAGGTCGTCGTGCCGTTGTATAGAAGGATCTTATAACATCTGTTGAAGAGACATAAAGGTAGCGATAGATGTATTACGAATGATGTTATAAGATATGAGGAAAAGCTACTTTGTTGTCTCTGTTATATCTGTAGATCTGTAGATGGGTGGAGGCTAGATTCCGGTTGACGGTTGACCGTCAGACGGCCGGAATCAGCAGTTGGAGAGGGATGCTTGGATTTGAGAATGTCCAAGACAGACCGCTCGGTGCCCTTGCCGTCATCAGTGTGAGAGCAAGACAACAGCACCGATGCTACAGTACTGCTAGCTAGCTAGAAGGCTTCAGGGTCACAAGATCCATTAAAATATGCGGCAAGCAATAAGGGAAACGCTGATCATGCTGGCCACATCGTTGCTGAAGAGGGTCCTGTGGGTCCTCCGCTTTCCATCGTTTGCTCCAGAATCAGGCAACTACCGAGTGGGTGCCATCCAAACCAGATTGCCCGATAGCATTGCCTGCCAGATCCACTACCCCGCCAACACTACACCACTACAACCCAAGCAGCAGGATTTCACGCCGTACATGCGACCTCAGGCCGTCGATGGGATTGCCGATTACAGCCGCACTCCAGCATCTCTGTTGCAGTTTTTGGCTTACCGGCAGCATCCTTGTGCCGTCAATGCCGAACCACTTCAAGGCCGCTTTCCCGTCGTCTTGTTCTCGCATGGACTCGGTGGGTGCATGGAAATGTACACGCAGCTGTGCCAACAAGTGGCGTCTCATGGATTCATTGTGGTCGCCATGGAACACGAAGAAGGAAGTGGTGCCTACGCCGAAACACCGCTCGGTCAGCCCATTTTGTACTCCAGACCGGATGATTCCCCTTATTCCCGACAAAAGGTACTCAACTTTCGACGGCCCTTTTTGAAGCAGCGGGTCGAGGAAACCACCCGTGTGTTGGAAATTCTGTTGAATAAGAATAAAAACGCGACAATCCCACCACACGTGCAAAAGATTCTGCAAGTGGCGGATACTTCCCGGGGAATTGCCTTTTTGGGACATTCCTTTGGAGCTGCCTCGCTGATGCTGGCAACTCGCCAGTACCTGGATTCCAAACAACAACAACAACAACAAGCCAGGATGATACCCAACTCACTGAGTGTCCTGGATCCCTGGTGTTTCTCCTTGGAGGATGATGTGTTGAATCAAGGCATGCCAACCGAGATACCCACACTGAGCATCCTTTCCGAAAATTGGTTGACCAATCCAGAAGTCAAACAAGTCGATCAGTTCCTGCAACACTGCAACACCCTTTCGTCTTGGTTTATTCCCAAGAGTGCTCATGCATCCTTTTCGGATGCGGTTTCCTGGTTGCCTCGAGTTGTTGGCCGTAAACTTTACTTGTGTCACAAGCAGGAGCAAAAGCACAAGACTGTACCAACGGCGGCCAAGGCGTGCGTCGACCATATCCAATCTGCACTTCTTGCCGCCGGTGATAATAACAACTATCAACCACCACAAGCATCCGAGTTTCTACAAGAGTACAAGACTCCTCAAATTCTACGGAAGGTACCGTCCAAAGTTGTGGCCAACACAGCCAATTGAGCCGGGAGGGTCTCGGACTGACTTCCTGGTCTGTACCGGTACAGTAGCTTGTGAGATACAATAGACTACCGGTATCATAAGTCAATCAAGATGCGTGCAGCAAGGATTCGAACGGGGGCCGGATCTACTTCATCGCTGCTACCGGACCTTGGTCTGTCCAAGGGCTATGACTAGCTCAAACTACTAGTAGCTAGCTAGCTAGCCAGGTGATGTAACCTTTACTAAGCAAGTTGCTTCCCTGCGCCTTTCCCGAGCAACAGGTACTACAACCGCAGCTCTGGCTAGCTGGTACAGTTGCTCTGAGGAAGCTAGCTAGAGGATAGAAATGTATTGATCATTCATCATTCATCCGGTCTCCCCAAGAGCCAGATTAGATCCAATGTGCGTCTCGGACGCAATATCTTTTTGTCTTTGACGGCTATTGTGCTCTTTTTCGGTCAAACTCACGTCATGGTCGAACAGAAATGTCTTTGACGCTGTATGAGAAGGCTTGAAGGCTTCGATGACAAGATGCGGGGGGAGTGGTGTGGTACGAGAAGCGAGGGAGAGCATTAATTATAAGCAGCATGTCCTCGGATCCTTTGACTGCATTAAATTTTCTTTCTTTGAGGGGGGAAGCGGCTGCTGTGCGAAACGAACCCCGTGGTAGTACGGTAGTACTGCTGTGACCATAAGATCTTCATGTTGTCTTCGCGTTGGTCGCACTCGATACCTGACGCCGGTACTCGATCAACGGCGAGAGACACTTGCCTGTCCGTTCAAGCTTCAGAGAAGTGGGGAGCAACAAAACAATAACTCCAATGGACGAAGTACTTATTACCATACGAGTACAAGATGTCTTTCTCCTGATGGAGAACAAACCCAATTCGAAGAGCTTCTGCACTGGACCGAACCGAAGCCGGCTCCACTTCATGCGGCTCTGGCGATGGAGCCCAGGGTCGGAACTGATAGCGCACGGGCCTGATGCTGAAAGGCCACCAATGGTGCGGGAGGCAGTGTCCATCTCGCAGAAGATCATCAGATCTCATATCCAACAGTTTTGTCATCGGTCTTCGCATCTCGGGTGACGGTATATTTTTGCGCCAGGCCTGACCCAAGCGCAACGAGAGGGAGAGCGATGGTAGAGCGGTAGATGTCCAAATGCCCACAAAAGAACCAAGCACACTCGAAAACCATTACACTCAAGCAGCTTGAAACTTACCGACCGTCAGAATGTTGTGGACGACTTGGATCACCACAGCCTTGCTCATGGCAACGGCAGTCCAAGGCCAGACCAACGAAAGGGACGCCAAGGACATCCAGTTGGAAGTGTGAGATAGTCCCAATCTCGACACCCTTCAAACTCTCCACCCCTCACCCCTTTTTCTTTTGCTCTACCCATGACACGCCTCCACAGATTTCCCTATTTGCCTGATGAACAAGAGGACGAGGCCACCGAAGCTGATCAAGCCCAGGACATCGTAGCATGTCAAGATGCCCTCTGTCAGAAAACACGCCACCCATTTGATCCACGAGTCCATAAGCGCCACTATAAGGTTGGAATCCATGCCATCCGTGGATTGGAGGCAGCAGAAGAAGAGTACAAGATGGCATTTGAAACATACCTCACTCAGACAGCAGGCCGTCGATTTGATCCTCCCGTTGACTTTACGATTGTGGCCGCTACCATGAATGGAATCTTTGAACAGCTAGAGGATGACAGTTTGGATTTCCTCTATGTCAACCCAGGTGTCTATTCCTGTGTTGGAGTGGAGTTTGGTGCTAATCCTCTGGCCACCATTATTTCTAGGTTGGAGGTACGGGGCCTTACCTGGGACCTGGATGTGTTTGGCGGGGTCATCTTCACTCGTTCTAGCAACTACGACATCAACACCATTGAAGACCTGAGAGACAAGATTATTGGGGCTGGGTCGATCTCTATGATCATGGCTGGCCAGCTTCAGTTTTATGAGATGCAGCGGGCTGGTCTATCTTATGGTATGTGTTGTGGGGATTAATGAGATGATGTGGATATCAGTTTTTGGTGCTATCGCTCATGCTGCTCCAATTGCCTCTTTTCCATTCGTACAGTCATGGACCCCAAGCAGGTTGTGTTCACATACAATCAAGATGAGGTGGTTCAGGGTGTTCTCGATGGAGTCTTTGATGCTGGCTTTGTTCGAACGGAGCAGTTGGAGCGATCAAGCCATGATATTGATGAGTTCAAGGTTCTGCACCCAAGAGTGTTTGTCATGGATGATGGAAGCTTGTTCCCATTCTTACATAGTACGGACATTTACCCCGAATGGCCGGTCGCGGCCCTTCCTCATGTGCCAGCGGATGTTGCCATGGAAGTACAAGAGGCCCTGCTTGCCTTCCAAGGCCATGCAGAAGTGGGCCAGCAGATCCAGAATGGAGCCGAGTTTGCGCCCCCAAGATGTGACACCACGGAGGAAGTAGCAAAGCTTGCCTGGAATGCTTCTATAGTGGGTGAGATTGCAGGGTTCCGAAACCCAATGTCATACTTTGAGGTCCGGACTATGCACGAGGCGGCTGGCTTCATCAAGAAGAATGATAGAGGTGACTGGACCTGCACTCGAGCTAATGCTGGCTCACTCTACGATAGCTTTGACTGTCCTGAAGGGTACTACAAGCTGAACCCAGAGGCTTACAATGCATCCTGCCCGGAGGTTGGGCTATCCTGCAAAGAAGGACATGACTGCTACTGTAAACCTTGCATGAAGGCACATGACGTTGATGTTTTCGAATGCAATCATACTGATGGTTACGTGCATGAAACAAGATATCGAGGCTGTGACAAAATGGAGGTCTGCGGGTCGATTCAGCAAAGAGGAAACATCCAGTTTCGTGTGAGAGACAACCTCAGACGGGCTGGATCCGAAGTTTCAGTCAAAATGCATTCAGTACGAGGCATCGAAGAAGTCCCTGTTACCACTGTGGATGATTTCAACTACAAGTTCAATTGGACACACCCAAAAGTTGGAGAGGGCATAATGGAGGTGTCAATCAATGGGGTTCAGATCTCAACCTCGCCCTTTCAAGTGGAAGTTGTTGAACGTGACTGCGAGTTGGACCATCCAGGTCACAACATGCATGCTTCAGCTGATGGAGAATGTGTCTGCTCTGATGGCACATTTCACATTGCTGGGAAGTGTATCAGTGCTACCATTGTAGCAATTGTGGCCTCCCTTTTCCTCTTGGTTCTTGCCACCATCGCCGGAGTCTTCCTCATTCGCTACAAGACTTACTTGAACGACAAAGCATGGATGGTGGCCCTGGAAGAGCTCCACTTTAATGTTCCTGCTGAGGTGATTGGTCAGGGTTCATCTGGAGTTGTCCTCAAAGCTGAATATCGAGGTAGGTCGCAGTAGACAGGATATCTCGTGTAGGTTGCTGCTGACCACTTTTTGCTTCTTCTTTTCTGAAGGAACCGAGTGAGTCTGTCCTATTTCATGTCCCCCAGAATTGTCTGCTTTTCACTCACCTCGTGCGTTTCTACTGCTGCTCTCAAAATAGTGTTGCCATCAAGCAGGCCATTAAAGCCAAAGCAAACAGGGAATCCAGTAGCGGCAAGGGGGCTCCAAAGAGGATCCAAGCTCCCTCAGATCTCCGAGCCTCTCAGACCGATTGTTCCAGAAGAAACTCTTGCTCTGGCTCAGCGCATAGCTGTGAACTTGATGGCTCAAGTGCTCCTGATGACACCGAGACTGAGGCCATTGGGGTTGACCCAGAGACTGGTCTTAGATCCACATCAGAGTGTGCTGAAATCACAAGCCTGGGCTTTTTGCGTTGTGATCATCGAAATCTGCGGCCATGGGATTTATTTTGTTTTTGGAAGGGGCACTATACCTTTAGTCCTAGCATCCGTTTCCAGGATTCAGTTCTGGGACAAAGTGCATCAGTGAGAAGGAAAAGCCTTGGAGCAAAGGTCTGTCCTTGGTTTAGTAAACAGGCATGGAAAGAAGAAGAGTTTATCAGTGAAATGCGTGTGCTGTCTCGGTTGCGGTAAGTACAGGGTATTGCTTTTTGACGACTGACAACAGCTGAGTACAGCTTCTCAGCTTCATTCTGTCCACTGTCTTGAAGCCACCCTTGTAGTAAGTCCTCTTCGTCACGCAGCTACAAGATTTAGTTGGCATGCCACCTTACACAATCTCTCTTGTCCGTCTTGTCTGGATGATTGCCAGTTACTACTGTGATGGGTGCTGTCATCTCGCATAGCCACACTCCGATGCTTGTGCTCGAATTCATGGAATATGGATCCCTGTACGATCTCCTTCGAAACGACTCCATGCACCTTGCTGGGTAAGCAGAATAAATGTGGCTTTTGAAGTACGGAAAATTGAGTCCAGAATGCAAAACCTCACTCTTGGTTCCTCTTCTGGTTTGTTGAAGTGACATCATTTTGCAGGTTTGCCGTGATGTTGCGCAAGGACTCCGATATCTGCATTCATCTCATCCGCCAGGTACGTCAAAAACTGTGCCCTCCCTTCGTTCCTCTTGTAGTGATTCTAACTCGATGCTGCCCTTGAGCTCAGTGTTTCATGGAGACATGAAGGTAAGGCAGGAAGTGCCGGCTGCCACATGGACGTAAAAATGATAGCACAAACAGATGTACTGACATTGCCTTGTCTGCTGGTGGAAGTCAAAGAACATTCTTGTGGATGGAAGATTCCGTGCTAAGCTTTGTGACTTTGGTCTCTCTGATAAGACTGCCAACCTGGTATGTGCCACAAGCTTTGGGTTTTGTTTGGTTATTCTGCATTGCAGCTAACAGTTATACTCTACTACTATTTTTACCTAACTCCCTTGAACCATTAGGTGACCGGAACTCCCTGTTGGATGGCCCCTGAGTATCTTACCTGCAGGTCTCGCTATGATTGCTCGTGCGACATCTATTCTATGGGAATAATCATCTGGTAAGTTAGGAAAGCAGTTACTGCTTGCACGTTGGTTGGCTCTAACCCAGTTTCTTCTTCAAATCCAAGGGAAATCTATGCAAGAAAGAATCCATATGAAGGAGAACAGCTTCTTGATGTTTTGAGAAAAGTGTGCAATCGGAACATCAACAAGCGCCCAGCAATCGAAGAAACGTTCCCACCCAAGATGGTTGAGCTGATGCAGAAATGCTGGAGCCCAGATCCCCTCACACGGCCCCATGCCACTAGTCTTGATACAAGTCTTTTGGACATGAATCCTAGGGATGCCGAGCCGTTGGATGTGAAGAAAGCTGATTTGAGTGGTCAAAAGCTCTGTGACGAACTCTTCCCAGCGCACATTGCTGCATCATTGAAGGCGGGAAAGAAAGTTGACCCAGAGCAGCACAATCTGGTGACAATCATCTTCTCTGAAATTGTTGGTTTTCACAGGATATCTGAAACTAGTAGTCCAGCGAAAGGTACGTTGCTGTTATGACTTTGTTGTTGGTGGCATTTGAATCTCTGGTCCTACAGCTCAATTTTTCCCCTTGTCCGTTTTCGTCATTAGTCTGCAACATGTTGGGCCGTCTCTTTCAAACCTTTGATAAGCTATCGAAAGCGAAGGGTGTATTCAAGGTGGAAACAGGTAAACGCTCTGGTTCTTTCCGTTGCTCGGCGTTTGGCAATGCTGACCCTGTTGCTTTGTGCAATATATTCCAGTTGGTGACAACTACGTAAGCTCTTGGATTTTAAAAAACGGTTGTCTGCCTCAGTGAATCTCTCAATGGAGACCTGACTCTGTCTTCTTTTCGCAACAGATGGGAGTCACAAACCTCAATGGATCTCAGAGGAGCAGTCATGTGAAGCAGGTGGCAGAGATGGCCGTGGATATGGTCAATGAAGCAAACAGGGTTCTTGTTGATGAAGATGCACCAGAAAAGGGATTTGTCTCTGTATTAGTTGGTTTCCACAGTGGCCCAGTTGTTAGCAATGTGATTGGCTCTTTGAATCCCCGGGTGAGTTCACAGTGTTTGTCTCTCCGTTACTCTGGCCAAGGAACTTCACTTCTTACCCCTCCCATTCCTCAGTACGGATTATTTGGGGACACAGGTACGTGACAAGCAGGAAGTTAAGACATCTCTGGACCTTGTCTAACACTGATGTTTACCTGCATTGTTTGCGCAGTCAACACAGCCAGCCGCATGGAATCAAACTCATTACCAAACCACATTCTGTGTTCTGAGTACTCCGTGAGGCTCTTGCGAGAGCAGGCACCAGACTTCCCTATTCGCAGGAGGGGGAAAATCGAAGTCAAGGGTAGGTAGATCAGACATTAGCGCAGGGCTTCCTGGTGGTTTGCCTGGGCTGTCTCACCACCGCTCTTGGTTCTTTTGTTGCTGCTGATAGGCAAGGGTACAATGACCACATTCTGGGTTGGCGACAGACTCATTTCGGTTCGAAATAAAAAGGCAGTGGAACAACCAAATCAAGCCAACAAAAAAGTGGACTTTGCTGTTGACAAGAGAGAAGGCAAAAGAAGACTGGACTTCCCGGTTGAGTATTCCACTCGCCACATGGAGGTGTTTGCGTAGGCCCTTGGAGTTGACCTTTCATGTCCATGTTTCACTTCCTTTTCCCTTGCTTTCGCAGCTTTCCAAAAAGTTTCACGGTTCGCCGGGGGGCAGCTCACTGCTGGTTAGCTTCCAAACCGGGTAGGTGGAGACAAGCCTTAGCAGTGGCAAGATACGCACACAAATAGGTATCGCCTACTAACCTTTAAGTTTGCATGGACGATCAACCCATAGCTACCACGCCCTGGCCTCTAGCTAGCCAGGGTAACGAAGGATCACATTGGTGCGGCAAAATCGTCAACCTACCGTATTCCAGTTCGTGCATAATGTAGTAAAGTCAGAGTCACACTCAGCAGAGCTTCCAATGTGACTCGTGTCTTTCAGAGGCTGGCAGCCCCCCGCAAGTTTGGTTCGATCTAATCCTGGCTAGACGTTAAAATCAGCAAAAACCATTTTTGACTTGCCTTCCGAAATCGACGCATTGTCTTCGCGATCCTCTTGCTTGAATTGCGAATGCAATGGTTCTAGCCGCTACCGGTACCCTGTATGCCTTTACCTTGCGCCTTTGATCTTGCCCACGGTGTCGCCATCGTTCATTTGTCGTCCAACCAACCTTTTGAGCTTTTCTCAAACACAGAGACGCTGTCACCGCAGCCCGAGGAGCCTCGTTCCAGAGGGGAAGAAGCAGTGGCACACATTTTTGGCTACCTTGCAGAGGCTTCCGGAACGCCCCGGGATCCTTTCCTCCGTGTGTACCGTAGTCGAACAGATCCACCCAAACCTTCCCGGAGGTCTTGGCTTGTCCCATATCGTCTCCTATTCGATAGAGATATCTTAGCTTCAAGGGAGAAGCATCCGTACGAAAATTTGGATTTATTATTTGGATGTGACTAGTCTATTAATACCGGTAGTGTTAATTCTTTCGACGAGAGAGTCTAAAAGTGTGCAAGAACCGCGCAAAAGTCCCTACTGTACTGCAAAGCAACGAGTAGCTGTTGGCAGGAGGGTCACTCAGCACCATGGGACAAGCCATTTGTGCGTTTGTATGCCACCGGAGGGTGGAGTCGAGTCGAGTCAAGTCTTCTTTTCATCTTGCCGCACCTCGAGTGACAAAGCAAGGCGTCTTCTTTGGCTGCTCATAGGTTCCCTCACTCGCTAGCTAGTCTATCTGAACGCGAAGGGACTGAGTCTCAGTCAGTCCTTCAGCGGATCCGAAAGCTTGTGGATGGCTGAGTATGAGCAAGATGTTGCGGACTAGAATCGAACACCATGCAGAAGGAAATGTCTTTTCCATTTGCTGGTCGACAAAGAATGCACAAATCGGAACCGTGTACGAGTGCATGGTTGGGAAAGCCTTGCATTGACGGCTAGCTAGAATGTACCACCTGTAGCCCCATGAGTCCAGTCGAGTGGAGTCCCCGTGATTGCCCTGGCCAGAGGTCCTTTTTTCCTCCGTTCTTTTTTTAAAGTGTGGAAAGTCCCTCATCTCAAGTCCAGCTTCGATTGTAACCTGGCACCACGATGGCCGCAGTATGGGTGGTGGCAGTGTAGCTCGGATCAAATGCGCGCTGGGCTTTGTCATCACGGCTCTACGGCTGCCATTTAGATTCGATTCATCATCGATTCTGATTGACCATTCACTTCAACGTCCAGGATCCCATTGACACCCTTCTTTCTTTTATGATCAATAAATGGCTGTGTGTGAAACCTTCTTGTGCGTCGGAGCGAGCTGTGGGATGTAGAGAAGATGTTGTGTGGATTATTATTTGCTCTTTCTTGATTTCCCCCTTGCTGAAGCCATCTAGACTATTGTTTTCGGCAGTGCCCGCTGACAAAAGGAGACCCTTCTTTTCGAGGCGCGAAACGAACCCCACGATGCTCTTTGGAGGAATCTCGGGTGCCTATGTAAACACGAAGGAACCACCTCAATATGTCATAGCCATACTACAGATGTCCTCCGAAGACTCCAAAGAACTTATTACTCTCTGAGGGTAACTTATTACTCTTTGAGGACTCAGCTTGTATGCAGGCGTGACGGACAACTGACACCCTTACTACCAAACCGCACAGCTTCTGCAAGAGGAAGAAACTGGGAAAGAATGAGCTGCTGTGATATGTCCAATCACAGGGAACCATCGCCAAGTCCTGCAAACCTCCGACACCGTCCATCTCACTTGGAGTCAGAGTGGGGTCATGCCGAAGATGACAATGGTTCCATCTTATTCTTAGTTGCCAGGAGAGTACCAGGGCAGTAGCCCAGGCGATGAAAGATCCATACATGCATGCCAGGCCACCAAGAGATGACTCTTCGCTTTGCTTCTGAAGATCAATGCTTTCATTGTGCCACTGCGTGATAGTGTGGCTCACAAAAAAGATAATCAGGAGTTCACAATCTTCGAAGTAAAAAGCACCCTTGGTAACGCCACTTCCCCACACGATGCAGTAGACAAAAAATAACAACTACTAATCTTTGTGACAAACAAACAAACACTTCCCCACACGATGTTGTTGAGCGCCCGACTCCTTGCGTTTTGGTGCGCCACGGCCATGCTACTGGCGGCAGTCCAAGGTCAGGCCAATGAAAAAGATGGGAAAACCGTTCAGCTGGAAGTGTAAGTGGAGCGTGCACTATTTATGGACATTGTCAACCAAGCTGTGTGCCGATACTAAATTCGTTTGCCATTCGATTCCGGATCCTCTGACTTTGTGATTTGCAGACTACCTCCAGCTCTCAACGAGGACGTCGCTTCCACCACGTCTGGCAAGGGCAAGGCTTCAACGGTATGCCATGGTGAACGGCACCCATTTGATCCACGAGTCCATAAGCGCCATTATAAGGTCGGAATCCATGCCATCCGTGGATTGGAGGCAGCAGAAGAAGAGTACAAGATGGCTTTTGAAACATACCTCACGCAGACAGCAGGCCGTCGATTTGATCCTCCCGTTGACTTTACAATTGTGGCCGCTACCATGAATGGAATCTTTGAACAGCTAGAGGATGACAGTTTGGATTTCCTCTATGTCAACCCAGGTGTCTATTCCTGTGTTGGAGTGGAGTTTGGTGCTAATCCACTGGCCACCATTATTTCTAGGTTGGAGATACGGGGCCTTACCTGGGACCTGGATGTGTTTGGTGGGGTCATCTTCACTCGTTCTAGCAACTACGACATCAACACCATTGAAGACCTGAGAGACAAGATTATCGGGGCTGGGTCCATCTCTATGATCATGGCTGGTCAGCTTCAGTTTTATGAGATGCAGCGGGCTGGTCTATCTTATGGTATGTGTTGTGGGGATCAATGAGATGATGTGGGTATCAGTTTTTGGTGCTATCGCTCATGCTGCTCCAATTGCCTCTTTTCCATTCGTACAGTCATGGACCCCAAGCAGGTTGTGTTCACATACAATCAAGATGAGGTGGTTCAGGGCGTTGTCGACGGAATCTTTGATGCTGGCTTTGTTCGAACAGAGCAGTTGGAGCGATCAAGCCATGATATTAATGAGTTCAAGGTTCTGCACCCAAGAGTGTTTGTCATGGATGATGGGAGCTTGTTCCCATTCTTACATAGTACGGACATTTACCCCGAATGGCCGGTCGCGGCCCTTCCTCATGTGCCAGCGGATGTTGCCATGGAAGTACAAGAGGCCCTGCTTGCCTTCCAAGGACATGCAGAAGTAGGCAAGCAGATCCAGCATGGCAATGAGTTTGCCCCCCAAAGATGTGACACCACGGAGGAAGTAGCACAGCTTGCCTGGAATGCTTCTATTGTGGGTGAGATTGCAGGGTTCCGGAACCCAATGTCATACTTTGAGGTCCGGACTATGCACGAGGCGGCTGTCTTCATCAAGAAGAATGACAAAGGGGACTGGACCTGCACTCGAGCTAATGCTGGCTCACTCTACGATAGCTTTGACTGTCCTGAAGGGTACTACAAGCTGAACCCGGAGGATTTCAAAGCATCTTGCCCCGAGGTTGGACTGTCCTGCAAAGAAGGATATGACTGTTACTGTAAGCCTTGCATTGAGGCACATGATGTTGATGTCTTTGAATGCTATCATGATGACTACTATGTGCACGAAGATAGACATCTTGGTTGTGACAAAATGGATGTCTGTGGATCTATTCAGCAGAGAGAGAGTATCCAGTTTCGTGTGAGAGACAACCTCAGAAGAGCGGGATCAAATGTTTCCGTCATCATGCATTTGGGAAGAGACACTGAACATGTCCCTGTTACCACTGTGGATGATTTCAACTACAAGTTCAATTGGACACACCCTAAAGTCGGAGAGGGAATCATGGAGGTGTCAATCAATGGGGTTCAAATCCCAGACTCGCCCTTTCAAGTGGAGGTTCTCGAACGAGACTGTGATTCGGAGCACCCTGGTCACAACATGCGTGCTTCAGCTGATGGAGAATGTGTCTGCTCTGATGGCACATTTCACATTGCTGGGAACTGTATCAGTTCTACTATTGTAGCTATTGTTGCCTCCCTTTTCCTCTTGTTTCTTGCCACCATCGCTGGAGTCTGCCTTATTCGCTACAAGATGTACTTGAACGACAAAGCGTGGGTGGTGGCTGTGGAGGAGTTGCACTTTGATGAGCCTCCTGAGGTGATTGGTCAGGGTTCATTTGGTGTTGTCCTCAAAGCAGAATACAGGGGTAAGTACGAAACAGTCCTTTTTTGAGTTTTCATTGCTACTGACATTCTGTACTCACCATTGTTGAGCTTTGCTTCTTTCCCCTTCAGGTACCCAGTAAGTTCAGCTACTTGTCATATCCAAGGATTCTGGCACAAGTTTGCATCTAATGTCCACCACTTCACTCTGAAATAGGGTTGCCATAAAGCAAGCTATCAAAACCAATGGAAGGAGGTGGTCAAATGCCAGTGGGTCACGAGAGAAGAGCCAGGGTGCCAATCAGCTCACTTCCTCTTGCACAAAGGGTCCAAGACAGTCAATAGTCACCAGGAGGAGTGCAAAAGCCAGAGATGTCACCAACTCTGGCTCTGTGGTTAGTGCAGAACTAGATGGTGATGAAACTCGTGAGCTTGAAGATGACTCTGATGCGGGTGACCTGGAGCTTGGACTGCAATTCTCAGCAGATACCGGTAGTTCTGGAATTGCAAGCTTCGGCTTCTTGCGAGGAAGCCTTCGAAAACGAGGTGCATGGGATGTGCTGCCTTTTGGGACAAAGCATGACAAATACCATGTTCGTTTCAGGGATTCTGTCCTGGGACACAGTGCATCTGCAACCAAGAAAGACCTGACTGCAATGTTTTGTCCTTGGTTCAGTAGTCAGGCTAGAAGGGAAGAGGACTTCATGTGTGAAATGCGTGTGCTGTCTCGGTTGCGGTAAGTGCATGCAAGGCGTCCTTATGGTTTTTTGACAAAAGTGGCGGAAACATCTAAGTGATCATCTCATCTTTATTCTGTACACCAATGTCGCAGCCACCCTTGCAGTAGGCTCTACCCACACTTGCGTAAAAGATCCTCAACTTTGGCTGTTTTGCTCATTTGACCTCTTTACTTTTCTCACTTGCTCTGTGACTGTCAGTTACTACTGTGATGGGTGCTGTTGTCTCACACAGCCACACTCCGATGCTCCTGCTTGAATTCATGGAATATGGATCCCTGTACGATCTGCTTCGAAACGACTCGATGCACCTTGCTGGGTAAGCAGAATCCGAGTGGTTCTTCAATATTAAATCCTGGGTCTGGGATTCACAACCTCACTCTGGTTGCTCTTGCGGTTTGTTGAAGTGATGTCATTTTGCAGATCTGCCGCGATGTTGCCCAGGGACTTCGATATCTGCATTCATCTCGCCCACCAGGTGCGTGCTGGAAAATATGCGTTCACTCCTTTTGTAATAAATTCTCACTGGAAAATCCGTCGATTCTTCCCTTGGTACTCAGTGTTTCATGGCGATATGAAGGTGAGGCAGAAATCCTTGCGGCATGGACGTGTCGCGTGAGAGGAACCACTGACATTGCGTTTTCATGCTATCACCAAAGGCGAAGAACATACTTGTTGACAGCAGGATGCGAGCCAAGCTTTGTGACTTTGGTCTCTCTGATAAAACAGCCAACTTGGTACGTGCAACAAGACTTTTGCCACACTCTGCAAAATCATTTTACCTAACTCCCTTGCACCATTAGGTGACCGGAACTCCCTACTGGATGGCCCCAGAGTATCTTACTGGTAGGGCACACTATGATTGCTCGTGCGACATATATTCTATGGGCATAATCATCTGGTCAGTTTGGGAAAGCATTTGCTGCTTGCTTCATGTTGGGCAGCTCTAACCCAGTTTCTTGTTCAAATCCCAGGGAAATATATGCCAGAAAGAACCCTTATGAAGGAGATCATCTACGTGACGTTTTGAGAAAGGTGTGCAATCGGCGTGTGAACAAACGGCCAGAGATTGATGAAACTTTCCCTCCCAAAATGGTTGAGCTAATGAAGAAATGCTGGAGCGCAGATCCCCTGGCAAGACCCCATGCGACTACTCTTGACACAACCTTCTTAGACATGAATCCTAGAGATGCTGAGCCTTTGGAGGTGAAGAAAGCTGATTTGAGCGGTCAAAAGCTCTCTGATGAGCTCTTCCCTGCAGACATTGCTGCAGCGTTGAAGGCGGGGCAGAGAGTTGACCCAGAGCAGCACGAGCTTGTCACAGTCATCTTCTCTGATATCGTTGGATTCCACCGGATATATGAAGCAAATAGTCCAGAGAAAGGTCCGTTGCTGTTGTCACCTCTTCATGCACAATTTGCATCTTTTTGGCTGTGCTGTAGCTCACTTCTTGGTTCATCTAATTTCCTCATTAGTCTGCAACATGTTGGGCCGTCTTTTCCAAACGTTTGAAAAGCTATCAAAAGCAAAGGGTGTATTCAAGGTGGAAACAGGTACAGCCATCAAATACTTTCTGGTTCTTTCCGTTGCTCGGCGTTTGGCAATGCTGACCCTGTTCCTTTGTGCAATATATTCCAGTTGGTGACAACTACGTAAGCTCTTTGATTAAAATGGTTGTCTGCCTCAGTGAATCTCTCAATGGAGACCTGACTCTGTCTTCTTTTCGCAACAGATGGGAGTCACTAACCTCAATGGATCACAACAGAGCACTCATGTGAAGCAGGTGGCAGAGATGGCCGTGGATATGGTCAACGAAGCAAACAAGGTCCTTATTGATGAAGATGCACCAGAAAAGGGATTTGTCTCTGTATTAGTTGGTTTCCACAGTGGCCCAGTTGTTAGCAATGTGATTGGCTCTTTGAATCCACGAGTGAGTTCCCATGCTCTGTCTCTGCTTCCCCTCCCACCATTTTGCCATGAGTCTAACTTCCTCCCTTGCAATCCTCAGTATGGATTATTTGGTGACACAGGTAAATGTGACTAGGAGTATGCTTGAGATCTTGTGAAGGCAGAGTGTCACTCTTACATTTGATGGTAAACTGGTGCTGTTTGTGCAGTCAACACTGCCAGCCGCATGGCATCAAACTCCCGGCCCAACAGGATCCTCTGCTCTGAGTATTCCTACAGGCTCTTGCGGGAGCAGGTGCCAGAGTTCCCGAGTCACAAGCGTGGCAAAATCCAAGTCAAAGGCAAGGGTACAATGACTGTCTTTTGGGTTGGTGGCAGCCTTGTCGCCGCTGGAAGAGTTGCAGATCGACGGCAGAAGGAAGAGAAAAAGGTTGACTTCGCACTTGACGATTCCTCGCGCCGCTGTGAGGTCGGAGTTGCTGCATAAGCCTTTCTTTTGGTCTCCATGCTCACGCTTCGCTGCTGTACCTATTTTACAAGTTTCGTTTCTCCAAGAGGACAAAACAGCAAGACCAAAGGCAAAACAAGTCCCTACTAGATTTCGGATTGGAATGCAGGGGTAGCAAGATATGCTTTGAGTCTACTAGCACGTGTATACGCAATTTATAATATACTTTTGGCTAAGTGCCTTGTCCTAAGCTCAACATGTGGAGCTGTATTCATGCTTGTGCCTGCCTTCCGATGCTCTACTAGCTTGGGTTCGACGCTGGTTTAGCCGAACCTCATGATTGGTACACCTTCAAGGTTTGCTGTCGGCCCCTCGTCGCCTCGAGCGTTCTGCGCCGCCTCGAGTGACGCTGCCATCGCCTGTCGAACCTGCTCTTCTTCGACCAAAACCGCTCTAGTCATTTCTTCGGGAACTTCCTCAAAGATTTCATCGTCCTCTTCTCCTTCTGAATCTCCATCGTCATCCCGATTGTTCTCCTCCCCGTGGTCCGCTTCAGCGTCGTCGCTTTCGACTCTGTGGCGAATGTAGTGTTCACGGTCAATGAGCTTGTCGGTCTTCGTGTTCTTGACGACGTCGACGTTGTATCCCGACGCCTTGATCGAAGGAAAGTGCTCGAAGACAGCTGTGAAATCGTGTTCCCCCACTTCATCCATTACTTCTTGCAGTTGTTGTATGGTTCTGAAACGATGGAAATGGTCGAGGCAAATGTTGTCGTCTTCAAAGTCGCCATCACTCGCATTGTTTTCCCAATCTACCCCGAGCCAAGACAGGTCGACCTCTAAAATTTGGGTGAGATACATGCTGTTGGTTTGTTCAGAGCAGAAAACACGGTGAGTTCTTAAAAGAGAATGAAGCTACGTTCCCGGGGCTTTTGCCATATGTGCTTACGGGCATCGTTTCGGATTGATCCCCCAGTCCCTATTGTGAAGATAGATGTCATTCTCCTCTCCATCTTCTTCATCAGGTGGTGCCTTATCGCAATCATAGACCGACAAACCGCAGAGATAGCAATACTCAACGCCACACTCGGGACGAGGGCATTTCATGTGCAAGCATGCGTCGTCCTTTCGTCCCGAAAGCCCACAGGAGGGACACTCTACCTGAAATCCATCTTCGATCGCCTTTTCGATCTTCTCCTTGACGCCCCGCAAGGCCTTGCAAAGCCGGTGGTCTGTTTTTGATTCGCCTTCGCCGTTGGAGAATAGCCCGGGAAGATCCTTATTGCAGACAAAGCAGGTGCCATGGTGGCACGCTTTGCATCTCCACGCAGCCGGGCCTGGTTTCAGGAAGGATTCAAAATGGGAGCACATGGTGCATTGTACGAGCACATTTCGACGAGACATCGTCTTTTTCGTTCCGTGGCATTTGAGAGCCGCCAGTTGTTTGTCGGTAAGTAGAGCTTCGAATTGCAACTTGGGCATTGAGACACGGCATATGGCACAGTTGGGTGGATAGTTCGAGTGCAAATCTCCCGTGATAGATTTGCAGAAGACCGCAGCGCACTCGGCGCAATAATAATGTAGGCTGAAACACCAAAGAATACCCTGCTTCTCTTCCTTGGCAAAGTCAAACTCTGGAAGTTACAACATAACAAGCGTGAGGTGTTGAAATGACGGGATCGTCAGAACAGGTTCCTGTGCACTGGCTCGTATCCTACCTGTTTGACAAATGGCGCACGTTTCTTCCCTTCGGCACTCTGTGAAGCCTTCCTTTTCCTCTCGTCTCAAGCGTCGCGTCGTCTCCTCGTGACGGACAAGGCTTATATGGGTCTCATGAACATGACAGAGTTCCTCCATCTCGGCCTTTTGGACTTGGAGAGAAGTGTCCCGGTCCGCCTTGGTTTGTTCCTCTCTCACGATTTCCATCTCTTCTTGCTTGATTTCTTGCTCGATGGCCTCTTCAATCCTGCGTTCTATTTCGTGCCTCACTCGGTCATTGAGCGTAAGCTGGAAGTGCTGCGTTGTATTTGGCCGCAATGTCACCTGGAGTGCCCTTTGGATCAACGTGGAGGTCTGCTGGCTAATCTCTCGTTGGAAGAGGTCATCAAACTGAATCACGCGCGCTATGGCAGCATCGGAACCAGAGCCTCTTGTAGTAGTCGCTTGTTGGTTGGCTCGTTGCACTGCTCGCTCCATGGCTGCTGTAATCACCTCATCAATGCCATAAAACCAGTTGTTCACGTTGAGCCACACCAAAAGATGCTCTACGGACTCGTCATTGGTCATCTCAAACTCGTCCTCCACGCTCGATGGTGGAATCTCGTTGCGGCTTCGTTTGTGACGATGGGCGACTCCCCTCGGGTCGTCGACTTTCATCAAATTACTTCTCATGCTATCATTGCCAGAAATACCCTTGTCCTCACCGTCCACGGTGATGATCGGTCCTCTTCTTCCACCAGACGTGGCTTCCTCGCGTGATCCAAGTGCTTCTCGGCTGGTCACTACCAAACAGTCCTTGTCTCCGCCGCCATGTCTTGATGCCACGCGGCTACTCCCGTTGGGTTCTTCTAAGTTAGACATCCTCTGTAACGAAAGTAACTACACCAGCAAGGTCAACAAAAGCAAGGTGTTGACAGCGAAGTTCATGTGAACAGCGGATGGAGTGACAATGGACGAAGCAAGAAGGTGAGGGCAAACAAACGAGAGAACTTACTTGAGGTGCATTTAGAGATTTAAAGCAGACCCATGGAGGCAATGCCGGCGACATGAGGTTGAGACGCTCATCTTTTGTTCCCAAACAGTTTCGGTTGCTTCCTCTTTGCTCCTTCCTTTGACGGTACAGCGTATCCATCGTCCCTCTTCGTCATTTTCCTTCTTTCGCTTGCTCTCTCTTGGGTTGCTTCTTCCTGCCTCTTATGTGCGTGTTCGCTTCAAGTTTGATTACGGTGTGACAAGATAGCACCCTGAGGTTTTCGACTCAATTTCTTTGCTAGCTGCTGTAGTTGCTGCCATTGCTCTACAGCGTGTCGCTTCTTGAGTCAACGTGTGCTCTGCACTGTTTTTCCGAGTCTGTTTGACATTGCCGGTTCATGATAATCTTCCCTGTACTAGCGGTACGTTAAGTTCCTTGTATAGTCAAGCCGGTCCTCGATCTCGCATTCCTTTTGATCTTTTCCTAGTCAGCGTCACTCCCTTAGCCCGCAGAAGTGTTCATGCCGCCGCTTGACTCATCACCACGAAAAGCACTCCGCCGATCCCTTACAGTTAGATCCTCTACCTCAGCTTAAACTATAGACCAAATCGTTCCGGTATCAAGTCAACAATCGTGCTGATGATTTCCGACGCCTGTTCCTGTATCCTTTAGAAACATCGTAGGCAATAAGTTTAAAGCTAACTCGGCTGGAAGGAACCACGATTCGATTCATCTGAGACATTAGGGCACAATGCTTCGAATCATGGCCGCCATCGAGTCGGAGGTGTTGCCCGTAGACGAGGACTCCTGGTCAAATTGATCGTCTTGAAACAAAAAGGTATACACTCTTCGGAAGGAATACTGCCAAATAGGATCCAGATCAGGGACGAACGTTCCAGGGTTGCATGCCTCACCATTCGAGCAACAGATAGCGCAGCAGTCCGGATGCTGGTTGCACAACTGACAGCTCGCAACAATCGTCGGTGGATCCATCGCGTAGTTAGGATTGTCGCAAAAGAGGTCTCCAAGATTGCCGCTTAGACCGGCGTTGCCTTCCAAGAAGATCAGCTCTGGCAATAGAGATCAACCTTCGTGAGATGTCTCAGTTTTGACGAGATGCTGCACTGCATAACATCATTTCCTGAAGTAGTGAACCAACCGAGCTGGTAGACGATACTTACCGAGATTGCTCGTCTGCGAAAACGAGGATGGAATCGGCCCGGTCAGCTGGTTCCTATTCAAGGTCAAAATTGAAAGGCGGCTCAGAGTCGTAATGGAATTTGGAATAGTTCCTTGCAGCGAGTTATCGTCTAGATCCAACAACCAAAGCCGATCCAGATCGCTCAGAAAGGATGGCAGGGGACCCGTCCTTTGTGTTGTCTTGAGCGATAACTCGACTAGACTCGTCAAGCCTTGAACCCACTCTGGCACTGGATTGGACAGAAACTCGTTCTGTGCCAAGAAGAGATACGTCAACTTGGTCAAGGTTCCAATTCCAGTTGGGATGACGCCAGTGAACTGGTTCTGAGAAAGATCTAGATGCCTGAGGTTCCTCAGCATGGAAATAGACGCTGGGATTGTTTCATTCAAGTTGCATTTCTGCACCGCCAACATGTCCAATACGGTGTTTTGCGGCAGATCTTCGGGAAGGGATACAAACAGATTGTCGTGTAGGTCCATCACAAACAGCTGTGAAAAGAGAAAGAGATGACCTGGTATTACGCCAGAAAGTTGGTTGTCGGAAATGTCCAGGAATGTCAAGTTCGATGAATCCCTCAAGAAGTTGCCATCGATGGTACCAGTTAACAAGTTGCCTTCCACATAGAAGTGAACAAGCTCCCTCAGACCCAAAGAACTTGTTTCAGGTTCCCAAATGCTGCTGGTATCACCCGTCAGAAGGTTGTGATCGAATGCTACCGCAAATAGATCTTCCAACGCGCTTAGATTGCGAGGCAACATACCACTAAGATCATTGAAAGCCAGACTGAGATTGCGAATCTTTTTCAAGGAAGTAATCCAGCTTGGGATGGTTCCATTGAATCGGCAAAAACTCGCGGTCAAGGTTTCCATGTTGGTCAGTCGAGAAAGATCCGGCCAAGGTCCGCCCAACTCGATGTTGTCGTCTAGTATGACAGTTCGCAGAGAAGTTAAGAAACCCATTTCAGTTGGCAGCGTTCCTGTAGCGTTCATATGGGCTGAAAAAAAAAAAGAAAGGAACAGAAAATGAATTGGATACTGGGCCACCACAACTTCTCCCCGTCGACCTTCTCGTTGATTCACTTACGCAGATACAATCCATGCACCTGATTCGTCGTTCGATTGCAGGAGACGCCAAGGAATCTAACAGATTGATCAGAAAATTGGAAAAGGGATCGCCACATGCAAACAGAAATGGGTTTTGTAAAATTCAATTGATTCCTCCATTCTTCTCCGTTGGTCGAGTGGTAGATGGTAGTCATGATGTATCTGGTGATGAACTCGTAACCTTCAGGTGTATCAATGTCTCCTTCCGGTATCTCCAATCGAAACGTGCCGGATTCTGCCATGAGCTGCAGAGCATTGAATTGTGGAGATCCCACAGAGTCGAGGTCGGCCTGACTTGAGATTCCTTGGTTGATCAGATATTCCCTTGCAGCCTGAAGCCGAGCCGAGTCAATGGCGTCAGCAGGGCTGCTGGTAGGCAGATTGGTGGGTATTGGCACCGGTGGATCATCGGATGATACCCACTCGCATCCATCGGTAGTGGAGCAATCCAATGCGTTGGTCAGAACTGTACACTCTGGAGTGCCATCACAAATCAGGTCTAAGCTGCATCCACCTTCATCGTCGCATCCAAAGTTTGCATTCAAACAGGAACATGGTGAATTGTATCCGGCCACGTCTTGTCTCTGGCACAGATAAAGGCACTTGTCAACGAGCGTAGCGCAAAGGAGGTCGCCTCCACTCCCGTCCACGCTGCCCTCGACAGGGCAAGGTTCGGGACCAAATAACTCCTCACAGGCTGTGGCGGTCCCAACACAAACTCCCTGGGCGGAGGCAACTCTTGGACGATACAGCAGCACCAATATAAGAATCTTGATGGTGGCAAGTCGAATAGTCATTGCTGCCACACATTCATCTATCATTCCTCCTTTTCCCCTTGCTTGTTGGCTTTGGCCGCACTTCTTCAAAGTTGAAGTGAGAAGATATTTTCCACACGACTCGGTGTCTCCAAAAAATGCCATCCAACCGCTGCATCCACCGTACTATGGAGTCTAGCTACCGGTAGCGGAAGCAGCTGCGGAAGCCATCTAGCTAGAGGGCGGGGGCCAGGCTTAGGCAACAAGAGGGACTTGCATAGGTTCCGTGGAATCGAATCAGGGGCACAACTAATGAACTCTGGCACCTGCCTCCAGCCATCACATCAAAGTGGATTTCTAGAGACCTCGCTCTAACTGTACTACGGTACTAGTACGGACCCATGGGTAGAACACGTACCGGTAGAACTATCAGAGGAACACAAATTGCTCACCTGTAAGGTCAACGGCTGCTGAGACAACCAACATCCATGGGCCGCTGTAATATTTGATGCCCTTGCCATCTTCGTAAACAAAACGAGCGACAAGCAAGGCTGGCCTTCTTGGTGAGAGTCGAGTCCCGAAGATTCCTTGGACATTCATGCCTCCTCTAGCTAGTACCAATACCAGGAACTCGTTCTGGCAGGATTCAAGGTGACGGGCTACAGCAGAATTTGCGCGTGCCAAATGTCCTCCCATGAGTTGCCTCTTAGAAGGGAGCTGCAGCCTTTTGGGCACCTCCAGCCAAGCTGGACTTGAATGACACATTCAGTTTGTGGCTAGTAATGTAGCCCAGCGTTGCGTCGCGGCAAGGCAATACCGGTTGCAGCGTACCCTTTCAGCTAGCAGGGAGAGTCACGAGGCTTTGGCAAAATGTATGCTCTTGCAAATGCATGGGATACGTGTTGTGGCTGCCCAGTGGGTTGTTGGACTTGCTCGAATGTCCCTTTTGTGAGCCAGGAACAACGTATCCCCTCACTGTTGCCTTTCTCTTTACGGTAGCCACCTGGCTAGCGGCTCAAAGGTGTCCCCTGGGTACGAACGACGAGACAAACAAAGGTGGACATACAGACACCGTACGACCTAGCTAGTTTGGAAACGGAGGATGGTTGAAAGTGATCCGTATCGGTTTGGGGCAGAGAAAGCCAGGCCTGGCAGATTTCGTGACCACACGACTATTGGGCGGACATGATTCGATTCCATGGACCCCCCGAAATGAATTCTCCGTCATTTTCGAGCGTCAAGTCAAATCCCACAATACCGACCGAAAGTCCACAGCAGCCGCTGCAGCGACCACAAATTTCATTTAGTCGTTTATTGAGAGGTGTCAATCGATTCGATTCGAGTCGAGTCGAACACACTTGTTGTTCTTGGAAATAATCGAGTAGGTTGAGTTGTTGCCTTTTGGGCTTCCAGTACGTACTACAGTACCTATCTATGTAAGTTATTGTCGTTCTTTTTGTTTGTCTTGTTTTTGGTCCATTCCGTGGAATCATCGGGACACTCTTTTTCCTGTTGTTGCATAATTGTTGTTAAATTCAATTCAATCTCTTCCAAGTGCCCGTCCACCACCACCCCAATTATATCCTCCTCCTCGTCTTGCTTCATTATTATTGGCGGCGGGCGGTGGATTGGCCCATGGATTATTGCGTCCTTGATTATTCGTAGGTGCCGCCGGTATATAATTTCCCACCCCAAAGTAATCAATCAGGAACAAGGGTGTGCGCAGCAAATCTTTTCCATACACTTGCGGCACAACTTCTGCCAAAAAATAAAACAAGTGACCAATGACCATTCCGTGCAATTGATCAAAATAGGGATTTCCCATGAAAATGGTGAGTGCCAAATAGGCAAAGGGCAAGTAAATGGCTTTCATGGGAATGCCCCAAATGTTGGCTTGCGATGTCGGATGTCGTCGACTCCAAATGTACAGCACAAAATAAATCATGTTGCGACAAAACAGCGGAGGAAGATAACTCAACAATAACGGGTATGTGCCCAAAATGGCAGCGGCGCCAAAGAGCATGGCAAATGCGTAATCGGCAGTGCCGCCTATAAACAAAGAATAGTAAGATCGAAATGGAATAGAAAATTAGAAAAACAAAAAAGACAATAAAAACATCATCACTCATTCATTTGTTTTGTTTCATATGTGTTGTGCCTCACCTCCCGCGCCAGTATTGAACGGCCCACCGGTCTCGTAATTTTTGGAGAATGTGACGAGCGTGTACATGGCAATGAGGGTATTGAAATCGAATCCACCGGCGTAGCAGAAACTAGTCAAGACGCGCCACACTTCGAATTTGCCCACCATCTTGTCCCAATTCCAGAGGTAATAATAAGGACTCAGAATCCCAAAATTACCCACCAGCGTCAATACTAGTGTAATGCCGAACCAGGCTCGCGTAATTATGGGCAAAGAGTTGAACCAGGCCTGTAATTAACAAATTTAGAAACAACAGAAAAAAGAAACATCAGCCCGCATCTTCGTTCCATCCTCTCCTCGGTTGACTCGACTCATTCATTCATTGTACGTACATCGGGACCCGTTGGTTCGCCCGCATTCTGAACGTTGTCCGCTGGAGCAGCGACGGGCATGGTGATAGCTAGATGGAAATGTTTCTTTGCGTTTTGCTTTGGTGGTGGTTGATTGTCTCTCTGTCTTTGTCTTTGTTGCCACTGGGTGCTGCTGTCGGCTGTTGCTTGTGGGCTTCGAAGGGGGTCGAAAAGGATCGAACAGATCCAAAGCCAGTGTGCCACGAAACCACGTCTGAGTAGGGTTAGAGACACATTAGAGTTAAGGACCAGGAATGAAGCGGAGTGCTCAGTCTCTATATTCTTCCGGAGAGCGTTCCTAACGTGCAATCGAGTGCAGTCGAAACCTCGAGAACCCTAAAATAGGTCGGAATTTTAGGTGTCGAGACTTCCCGTGTGATAGGGTCGGAAATTATTTTCTCGAGATACACCGGAAGACCCCTCAAAATAGGGGAGACGTTTTCTGAAATTAGGCGTGGACGGCGTTTCATTCTGAGAATATCACCGTCCACCTAATTGTCAGAGACGGTTATTTTGCTAGTTAATTTTGAGGAGTCGGGTTTTCGAATACCCGCTAGTCCTCTGAAGAATAGAAACTGGACTGCCTGGTAAATACATGGAAAACGCACCAATATTAAGGTCGGGTTACGAGCAAAATCCGGAGAGACTCCGTAACAAATAGGGACCGTTTTCTGAAAATAGGACACGTTACTCGAAAAACTACCTCTAATGTAGGACGGTTGTGCGAAATTTAGGGATCCGGAGAATTCGAGAAGCGTGACGTATCCCCTATATTTTAGGACGTTGATTTCCCCCGAGAATCTCGACCCCTAAATTATGGGTCGGATTTAAAGTCCATGGCACGATTGAGGACACGACTCCTTAGACTGTTTGGCCATGAGTGAAATAGACAGGGGATAAAGCCATTGAATACCGCCAGATATCTCATTTTTTGGCCGACTCAGATACTTCGGATCATTTTTTGCACATTGCATTGCATTGCATTGATACAGTAGCTCTATCTCGGAGGACTTGCCAACCTTTGCTTGTGGGGCAACCTGGGCGAAACAATTTCGGCCAGCACTCTATCATCATGTAGCTTGACATCGCTACTAATAACTTTAAAAGAAACAAAAGCCCAAGAAGAAAAACAACAATGCAATCAACCATGGAGGCAACGGTAGTCGCCAGTGAAAACGTTCTCAAAGAGCATGGATCCACCATCAATCCAACAGCGGCTTTCGTCTTGTCCAGTCTCGGGACCAAGCGTATCCTATCCTCTTGGCGCTGACAAACTGGGGGCCCCATTTGAAGAAGAGGTGAGCTACCCAGCTGCAGTAGGGATGCTCGGGCTTTACATGCATCCACACTCCGCTACTCCTCCCAGCAACATCACATTTTAGTTGTGCATCATACCAGAGTTGCATTCGAATTACGTACAGCAAAATCTCCAGCGATCTTTACCCCATGACTCTAGTCAACGAATCGCTAATACGTGTTCATAGTTCGCGTGTACGCGTGCGCAGAGCATGGTGGGGAATCACGAGATGGTTATCCGGGTAGAGATTGGGGGTGTACAGAGTGAGCTACCAACGGCATGTGTCGTGTATTTTGAGAGCCGGGGCGTTTGTGGATTCCGGTCATATTCCGCATACACAAGAACGCGTTTTTGTGATACCTCGTTCGATTACTTTGGGATAGTGGACCTGCCTTCGCCGCAGTTTGTGATGCCCTTCACACCTACACCCCTCGGACATCGCAGGATGTCGAACTGGCCACATAGGCGTTGGAACTGTGAAGCGTAAGAGTCTTCCAGGTAGCTACATCGCATGAACTTCTTTTGAGCGGCTACATAGCAGCTATCGTCTTGGTCTGCCGCCACCTTTTGTTGCATAAGTATCTGACGAATACGATTGATGTGCGAGGCCGAGTTGAACTAAGCCAGATCGATATGATCCTGTGCCAGAGCCCGACTACAGTCATCAACGACCGCAAAGGCCAACAACTCTCGATGAAAATCTCGAGTCTCGTGAAGTCTCTACCGAAATCATTTTAGATATATACGCAGCAAAAGGCACGGCAGACTGGCCGGTCCAGCCCTATATCTGCCAGCAAGCTAAGACTGAATTACTTTGAGCTCCACTGCTGCTGAGTATGTTGCCTTCAGCATGTAATGAGGGAGCTGCTTCCTATGCGAGCTTGCTCAAAGAAATTGGTAACAAACTGAATATGCCGGTAATTACTGACAGTCTCGTGCGCTCTACAGTGTTCGAAGACAACCAAGGTTGCTTGTCTCTTGTGAATGTTCCCAAGATGTCTGCGGCAACAAGTATTTGGCATTGAAGTACCACTTCTTCAGGTCCAATATCGGGGAGTCGAAGGCATCGTGGCCAAGTATATTCCGACTCTGGAACAACGGGCCGACATTTTCACTAAGGGTCTTCCGGCTCACAGTTTGCTGTCATTCGAAGCTCCTCATGGGATGGTAATTTACCTCAGCACTTTGCTGGGGACTCTCTCCTATCGTTCTTGCTCCAGCTTCATTTCAGCTGTAAGGGAGTGCGGGATACAGCTTACAATTCAGCTTTACAGCTTTACAATTAGCAGGCTTATTCTAGAAAATAATCAATAACTGCTCACTTATTTGGAAATACAAACTTTACATCTCTTAGATCTTTAGATTAATCAATGCACAATGGTATTGTCGCAGAGTCCTTGTGGCTAAGCTTACAGTCGTCTACATGCCAGCAGACTGTCTGTTACTTGCTGTGTACCATTTTGTTGGCAACACATGGGTCGTAAGGATTAATCTTAAATCCGTTCCGGACCATCGTCTTCCGGAACTTACGGTAGTATAGTAGGCTAGCTACCATGGTGCCGTAGATGGCATTCAAACATCTGGGGCAATTTCACACAGCATGTCTACTAGTATTCCTCTTACTCTAATGATTACCATATCTTTTTCATCCTCGACTCATGTCTGAATGAAGGCGTTTGGGATGTCAATTACTGCCACATCCCTTTCCTCTTCAGCGTCGATTATGCAGGAGAGTGGCACCGCTTCTGTCGACACTGTTGGCGAGCTTGCGTCTTCCTTGGAGATGAAGTCACGCTGTTTGTTGCCTCCGGCAACCACTCGGCCTGATTTGATCTTCCCGTTCCTTTTCAACTTTAGGAACAGGTATGACTCTAGGATACTCTTGCGTTCCGTTTCGCTGGGTTCTTCCATTTTCTTAGGACGGAAGGTATCCCTGAGATGTAACTGCTTCATCTCGGCAAAGGCTGCATCGTGCGCTTTGTCCTTCCACTCCTTGAGTCCAGCCTTCAATGACAACTGTGTCATGATGGCTGCTACCACATCAGGTTCTTCCTCTACCGATGTGTAAAATATGTGTGCATCTGGGTGCAAGACACGTTCACTTGTATGGACGTTTGCCGTCTCATACTTCTTTCCGTCAAAGCTGGGAATATACGATTCCTTTGCTTGCGTCCTCACTCTACTGGACCTGCCCACTCCTGGCGTCTGCTCAGGTAGGTAGTCATCTTTGCAGAAATCAATTTGCATTGAGTCACCCATTTGTGTCCCTGTTACCAGCACAAGCATTGGCCACGGTAACAACTTCCCATTTGTGTCCACAGTTCCATCAAGTATTCTTGGAACAGTCCCTCCCTTTTACTTCAGACTCAAGGACTTGTCTTTGAATGGTGCCGTGTTCTGACCCCCAGCAATGCCGAAGTTCACTTGGTAGTTTCCACGCTTGTTAGTGCCTCTGCTGAGTTCTGGGAGCAAATAGACATTGAAGGCATGACATAGATCTAGATCTATCTGTTCGTATCTGGCATCAAAACCCAAGTTTGAGTATTCCTTGGTTCCATAGCTGCAGGTTGACAAAAGATTTGGAAAGCCAAGGATTTTTTCAGGGATGTGGGAGGACTCCGCCGTATAGAGAAGGTGAGGTTCATCATCGCCTGCTCTGGTGACCCTCGCAACCATTTCATCATAAGATTCCGTCTCATGTTCTCCCTGTAAAAATGGGGGTGGGTGGTGGTGGGAGAGATTAAGAAGGGTGAGCATACTAAGGCATTGCATATTTAGTTCACTTGGACACCGACAGTCCAAAACGTGTTGGCACGAATGGCTGGTATAAAGCTCTACATGTATGCCGGTTGGTGGCTTGGTAGGATGCTCAACATACAAGAACATTGCAGCATGTGGGCTTACAGAGGAACAAGTGTTGAGGGGACGGGGAGGAATGAGACTAGGCAAACTGATGTTGGCAAAGCGCATCATTATATTTCGTTTCCAGTGTAAACGATTCGAGTTTATGATTGGTACCACGGGAATCATATTTCGTTACCACCAAAAAATCCACTGCATGGATTAACATATTTCGTAGCCACAAAAAATTCACTCTCGTGGGAGTTGGATTGACATATTTCGTGGCCACCAAAAAAACCACTCTCGCGGGAGTTAGATTCGTAACCATTTAAAAATGGATTCCTGCTAGAGATCTCCCTGGCCTTCGTATTCAATGAACAGATCATGGTCAACCTAGGTATCGCCTGATACCAGTACACACATAGTCTAGTCATGGCTCTTCATATGGAGAGATCCGACGATTCCAACTGGGGATGCAGCAGTAAACAACATGGGAGAAACTTTTGGTTAATAATACGATTAGCAATCACTACAAAATTAGGCACGCTCACCACGAATGCGTCTGGAGAGCTGGATGTCCTTGGGCATGATGGTCACTCTCTTGGCATGGATGGCGCATAGGTTGGCATCCTCAAACAACCCAACAAGGTAGCTTTCTCCAGCCTCCTGCAATGCTAGCATAGCTTTGCTTTGGTACCATAGATCCAGGTACTTTGCCTTCATTTGGCCATTCGAATCCCTGTCGCCATCGCCAATATCCTGTACAATCTCACGAACAAGTCGTTGCAAAGGGGCTTTACGAAGGAGGAGATCTGTACTCCCCTGGTACTTCCTGATCTCCTTCAAAGCCACAGTGTCCGGTCTGTAACTGCGGGGCTTCTTGGTGCAACCACTCTTGGGTCCTAAAGCAAGCCGCTTTCGAGAAGTCTTGACATTGGAGTCTTCTGCAGCTTGGTCTCTGAGAGAGACCTCTCCTGTGGTGTTTCTTGTAGACGTTTGTTTTGTTCTTGCCATGTTGATATAACCAGTAATTGAGCTCAGTTCAAAGGGATGTGGATGTCAATGACAAAAAATAATGATGGGTTCCATATTTCGTACCGAATGTGGAGCGAGTGGGGATCCATATTTCGTACCCAAAGTCGAGATCCAGTGAGTATACCGAAAGTCAACCGATCTCCTAATCAGGAGACTGCCCTTTCAACGTATTGTTCGAGACATAGCTTCTGATATTAGAAAAGATTTTTTGTGAGACTGACACATTTTCAAAATCTCTCCCCCTCCCCCAATCCACTTTTTTCAAAAAATAGTTCATGCCAACGAGATTGCTTGAATTTCATGCCAACAAACCCAAACGTATAGAAAAAGAATGACCCCAACCAGCCCCCAGCCCCCAGTACTGCAACGACTATATTGATATCATACCAGCAGGAAGTATGTAGAGAGCAAAGACGGCATGCTACTATGCATGCAGTTTAACGACTACATCCGCAGTCCAAAAATAATGAGACATAAAATTGATTTCCTCCAGTATGGTAAGGACTAAAGCAACTGCAAGCAAAGTAGTCGACGGACAACATCCCAGATTCCGGAAGGCGCTAGCAAGGCGGGCCGCCAGGAAGGTCCCTCCTCCATTGAAGGTGAAAAAGCGACAGCGCTATCGCCCAGGAACTGTGGCTCTCAGAGAAATTCGAAGGTACCAGAAGTCAACCGATCTCCTAATCAGGAGACTGCCCTTTCAGCGTCTTGTTCGAGAGATAGCTTCTGATATTAGAAAAGACATCAGGTTCCAAGGGTCTGCAATGGAAGCTCTCCAGCAAGCGTCAGAAGCCCATCTTGTGAACATTTTCCAATGTTCCAACCTTTGTGCTATCCATGCCAAGAGAATCACCATCATACCAAAAGATATCCAGCTAGCCAGGAGGATTCGAGGTGGAAGGTTTTATGTACTATTCTACAGTCAAGCGAGACCTAATAAATTAACGTATAAGATAATATGTGTTCTTCTTTGTTGCCTTCTTTCGTGCATACCCATATGTCTTTTGTCAGTGCAGCCTTGACTGTTTTTTGGTTTGCGTGAGGGCGAAATTGTTTTCTTTTTGTACACTTTGTGAATGTGACAACTCCTCTTCTAGGACCGTTAACCTGTGGTTATAAATATATATAGGTATACATATATAGATAGTAGTATACCTGGTCTGTGCAAGGATCGAATCATGCGCCTGTCGTCCCTGTCATGCCAACTCGGGTCACATACATTCTCCAGCCTGTTGGAACTCATTACTTAGCCAAAACTCTGGGAGTTCACTCTGCCCCTTCTGTAGAGTGAAACTACAGAGCAAATTCATTGTTTGGCAGAGTTTTTCGTTTCCCAAAGGCACTGACAACTATCCCCATACGTCACATGGCGTATTACACCTCTTGGATAAACACACCAAGAGTAACACCCCATGACAGTCCACTTCCCACGGAAGCTCCTTTGCTCAGACAGCAGAGGACGGGGTGGTGGCAGAGGAGGAAGAGGCCACGGAAATACAGGCTTCGACCCAGAGTTCTGGAAAGACAAAGAATGTTTTAGCTGCCACGGAAAAGGGAATCCAGCCTCGCACTGTCCAAACAAAAATAAAGAAAAGCTCGAGTAGCAGTCAAAGGAAGACCTTAGCTACACTCGGCAAACTGCAGGGTAAAATGCAGAGGACACTGACAACCCTGCAGGAAGAACAAGACGAAGCTGATTCTGACATCACAGAGTCAGACTCAGAGGAAACGAGAAAAAGCAATTTCACGTTCGTACCCTTGTTCGCACCGTCAACGACAAAGAGCAGAATAATCGCCCACACAAAAGGATTGGACGACAAAGATATGAGAGAGGTCCAGCTATTGGACAACCAGTCCACGTTGGATTTATTCTGTAATAGAGACATGGTTACCGACATTAGGAAAGCCGATCGTCCTATCACAGTGAAGAGTACCGGAGGCAAGCTGAAGTTACGACACACAGCCAAACTACCAGGCCACAAGCAGAGAGTATTGTTCGATGAAAGAGGAATCACGAACATCTTATCTGTTAAGAATGTCCGCAAGAATTGCAACATCGTCTACGACTGTCCGAAAGGAACGTACACAGTCATTAGACCAGGCCTACCGGACGTAGCATATGAAATGAACAGTGAAGGATTACACGTTCATGACCCTAGGAAAAAAGGGAAGGCACTTGTGAATACTGGTGCCAAAAATAAGGAAGGCTTCAACAAACAACAAGTCAAAGCCCCATCAAGGGCGAAGCTGCTGTACAAGCAACTCGTCTATCCATTGATTAAAGATTTTCGATGGGCGATTATGAGCAATCAAATCGCAAATTGCCCAGTGACCGTTGAAGACATTGACACGGCACAAGCGATATGGGGCAAGGATATTGATGCGTTGAAAGGAAAGACCACTCGGAAGAAACCGAATGCAGTGGCAGGCAATGCAATGAAAGTACCGAGAGACTTTTTGCAATTACACAAGGATGTGTTCCTAACGATGGACATCTTCTTTGTGGCAGGAATTCCGTTCCTGTTAACGTTAAGCCGTAAAATAGATTTACAACAGCTAGGCACCTGCCCAACAGGAAGCTGGAGACCATCCTAGAAGGATTTCAGGAGGTCTATCGATTTTACCAGGCTCGTGGTTTTAAAATCACCACCGTTCACGTGGACAATGAGTTTGAACTTCTGTCCAACACAATCATGGCAATGCCGGGTGGACCGGTAGTGACCGTTGCCAGTGCTAACAAGCACGTACCCGAGATCGAACGGAGAATCCGGGTAGTTAAGGAAAGGACACGAGCTGTCCAGCATAGCCTACCGTTTACGCGCATGCCAAAGATCTTGACAGTCAACTTGGTGTTACAAGTCGTTAAACAGTTGACGTACTTCCCAAGCAAAGCAGGGGTCAGCGAGACAATGAGCCCCCGAATGATAATGATGGGAGAGTCCCTGGACTATAAAAAGCACCTGAGCCTGCAGCTCGGAGATTACTGTCAGGTGCATGAGGAAGACTCGCCCCGTAACAGCATGGCTGACCTCTTCTAGGAAGCATTGCCAACTTCACACGTTCCATTAGACCAGGATGCCTTTGGAATTGTTCCTTGGTGATCACTTCCTGCACATAGCACACTTCGACACCGTCTTTTCTTTTGATGGGAATTGTTGTCTTAAGTCTAGGATCGGTATCTCGGATCATGACGTCCCAGACTAGAGATGTTGACGATGTTGTGCTCGTTGCGAATGGTCTGGGATGGGGGGGATTGGTATCTCCGTTTCCGCAAACCTAACGCTGTCTCGCGTATTCGATGGTCCATCACCCTCGAAGGATACCTCCTTAAGGGTGGGAGTAACTCTGCACCATTTTATAATTCATAAGGGGGTGTACTCATGCCTGGACGATGATTCATTTTCCGGTGGAACGAACACCCTGGAGTCCAAAGATCGTATGCTGAGCCTCGACGAGATTGGCAAATGATGTTCTCAGCCTCAGCCTCTGTCATGTCTGGTAGATCTCTATATGCTCTCAGATACCTTGCCACAGAGGCTAGCACAACAGCGTACTTGGACTTTACATCAGTGCCAACCAGATACCGCTGCATGTTCTTGAATCTTGGGTCGGGCTCCTTTTGATCTTTCTTGTTGTGTGTGACACTTCCAGAAATGACAGCAAAGTCCAGATTGAATGCAGGGACCAACCCCATCAAGGCAAGGATGTTCTTGATATGTTGAACCGAGAAGATACCTGCACAATGAAGGCCCTTTGACATTTTGTATATCTCCGCCTGTGTATGAAACCTCTCCTCTTTTGTGGTTGAGGGAAGCTTCTCCCGGGAGTGGATTAGGTTGCTGATGTACCGGCAGTTCCTCCTGACATTGGCCACCACATGGGCTTTGTTGAGGAAGACTGTACAGCGAGGACTTGCCCCCCCCCCCCGAGGCACTGCCTGCAAACATTACAAGGAGCTGGGTGACATACTCAAATAGACCCCTGGCAAAGACGAGCTGACTGTTCTGTCCCAGTGGTCCTGCATGAATAGGAGCACCATGGATAGTGTGTAAAGACCACAAAGCGACCCAACAACAGCAACGATCTCCACAAGCTCTGTTTCACAATCCAGATCTCTGAGTTCGATTAGGGAAGTGAGGGCGCTAGCCACAGGGCCATAGTAGTTCCCCTGCTTGTTTGACGATGCCTTGGACCGTAGAGCTACATTGACAAGAGTCCCGTCTGATCTGTCCAGGGTGAAACACACCCTTCCGAACCAACACCTTCTTGGTAGTATTCTTGAACCGAGCAGCCTGGAAGTCTGTATGGTTCCTTAGACTTGGAAACATCTAGGAATTCTACACAGGCATCAACCGCTTCCCCTGATGCAGCAATTCGGACCAAGGAATCGCTGATCGACTGTTAGAAGACGAGGGCATTTGACTTATCCATTCTTTCCGTAAGATCGTCCATCCCTGAATGATCACGAACACAAATCATGACGGTACTACCCCAAGTGAACTCAGTCACTCCCGGACCAGGGGTTTGTTGCGTCAGAAATTGCCGTGCTCCACATCTCCGAGCCAGTCAAACATCACATGTAACACCACCAAGAAACAACCAGCGCCAACAATCCCCCGACCATGAAGACTGCCTGAGGGTTGCTGGCCATTGATCAAGAAGAGTCGTGGTTTGAATGCAATCGTTGGCATCAAAACAGGGTGGGGGCTGATCAGATGGGCTGGACAGAGGCTTGCCGACACAACCAGGCACACAGGGACCGGGAACTGAGTCCTTAGCTTGGATATGTCGGCCGCTTTTTCTTTGCCATCAACCAACATCCCCCCCTAGCCAAGTTTACAATCCTTCCGGTGAAACATCCAGAGTCAAAGTAGCACGGAACTGATCCCAGTATAGTCATTAAGGCCGGGAAAGGATGACAGTCAAGCAGTTTCTCGAAGCAGGAAACAAAGAACGAGGTTCCTCCAGCGATGCAGAAC